CAGAATTGGGCGGCCTTTGATTTTTCTGGAGTATGTTTTGTTGTCTTGATTAGTTATAACGTCGTAAGCTGCTTTAGGTGGCAATCCTATTGTAAATTCCATTTCCATATTGGAAATGTCAGATTTATGGTCTGTACGCACCTTTAAATATAAGAAAAGATAAATGAAATTATGGAATTTTATTTCTTAGCTCTATATATAGAGGCAAATGTATTGTAATGTCGTTAGATGATTTGATCTTACCTTCACCTTAGGAGGAGGTTCATGATATTGTTCCTTCTTATTTGCATCTCTCCATAGTTTTAATTGCTCCTTCGTCTCATTGCTCTCCTCGTGAGTTTTTGCCTGTGTCATTGGCATGGATTTAACATTTTTTTCAGATTTTGTAGGATGTTGTGTGTTCTGACTGATCCAGGCACCAAATTCGGGGAATATACCCATTTTACTCTCTGAAAATTTAGCCCCTAAAGAGATAATTGACTTGCCGGGGGAAAATGTCAACGGTACAAATCATGTAATGTATAAACTATATGGTTTCAGGGACCTTAGAAAAAAAAATTAAATTCAGATTTAGACGATCGAACACATATATAACTGAAAGAATAGAGAAGGTGAAGTGTACCTTACGTTAACCGGTTAACGTACCACCGAGTAAAAATGAACATATCAAGGCAACTAAAGTCTCGTGACTTCTTTATTGACGTAAAAGCGAGAGCTACAAGAATATTGAACACTACCACTAGGTTTAGTGCCAGGAGACGTGCGTTGCAAATCAATGGTAAATACATACATTTAACACAAAGTTAATAGCGAGACTTAACAATCTCGAGACAACACTCCCTGGCGCTAAATTTTTCTACATATACATGTATAATTCTAGTCTTAATCTCATCAACAATCCTCAGGCTTCAGATCTGCATCTCAGTGAAAAAAAATCAAATATGTACCTTGTTGCATCGTTATAGTTGTTTCCAAGAATAATATGTCGTTTGCTTTTGGTCTAAAGAATTGTGTCAATCGGGTCTGTCTTCGAATCTTTAAGTACACACTATTTCATCCTTTTTTTCTGAAGAGTTTAATGGTGGATTCATTGCTTTGGATTCCGTCACCCTTTTTCTTAGAGGAGAAAATATTACCATCATACTTCTTTTCTATGAAAGATGTTTCGGCTTGTTACCGAATAAAATTTTCAGCTTAAACACTTGTTTACTATTATGTGTAGCGGTGAAGATTGGATTTCCGATTTTGTTCCGCCTCGAGTTCGCAGTCATCTTTTCATGAAGACCTATCTCTTGTATTTACCTTTGTCTTTGTAATTTATGTTTCTCACCAAAGATGATGAATAATTCACTCTTTCAATTTTATCAGAAAAATTTGAGGGTAATAAAAGTAAATGATTTTCTAAAAAAAAAAGAATAAACTGTTCTTCTATTTTAATTAACCAGATAAGACTTGCGTCTTACGCATGGTGAGAGTGTAAATAATTAAAATATAAATTTTATTATTAAAAATTAAAAATTTACATATGATTGTTTTAATATGTATTTGGAATTTTGGTGTTTCTAAATAGTTATATATACGTAGGATCAGAAACAACTATAATTAGAACTGTAGATCAAAACTTAGAATTTAGTGGGTCCGGTTCATATTTTTTTTTACCTTTTAGTGTTCGAGTGATGGAAAATAAACGGAGTGTCGCATAACTTAACTGGTAGAGCATTATCAAGTTCCCTAAAGCTTTCTTAAGAAACAGTTGGTATAATATTTCTATTTAGAATATATAAAAGTTTCAAAATTAATTTAATACAATTTATTTATTTGTCTAATAATATCAGAAAATTATATTTTTTTACAAAATTTAAATTTTAACTTATAATTATTTTTAAAATAATACTATTTATTCATACGATATGATATATATATATATATATAAAGTACTAGGTTGTAGAAACGATATCAGTGAAAAAGAATCATAAATAAATAATTTTTATTGGATCAGAAATCTCATTATGTATTTGGTGTTGATAAAAGCTATTCCTATGTTATACTATTAAATTATTGACGATGAATCGAATTTATAGCTCCGATATTGTTATTCGTGATATTTCTTTCATTCGATATCATCGAAATCTAATTCACCTGAGTGAGTTTACAAGCGAAAGATTTCTCATCTCTATGGGATTAAATCTCGAGATATTCCAAAGAAAAAAAGATATATATATATATATATGTATATATATATATTCACATAAACACCTATTAAAATAAAATTATTTATTCATATGGTTTTATAATCATTGTAACTTATTATAGAAAAAAATAAGACCTTGATCACAAAAGTTTATGTGAGATTTTTAACAGTTTTAGTAATTTATACTCGTTTTGAAAATTTCAAATACAACAAATATCTAAATTTTTATATGACTAGTGTAGTTGTGTAATTTATTTTAATAATAAAAAATTAAACAAAATGATATAAAGTATATAAATTGTTAACAAATCTTTATTATTTAAAATCATTAATAGTCATATATATCTTAATCACATTAGGTAATTCCATAGGTTTTATTTAAAGAAATAATATATAGGATATTTAGTTTGATATGTTATTTAGTTTAATATGTCTTATATGAGATTAACATACATTGTTTTAAAACTATACTTTGTATGAAGTGCTCTAAAATATTTCTAAATTGAAATATAAGGCATAGAGAAATGCCACGTAAGATGAGTTATTTTTTAATTAATACAAATTTAAGGTTACAACTTTTTAAATCTTTCTCAATTAATATATAGGGGATGGTATTATTGTAAATATTAAAACATATCAAAGGGACCTAAGAAAGTCTTCTATTTTAATAGTGTAGATGGTATTATTGTAAAATATTAAAACATATCAAGGGGACCTAAAAAGTCTTCTATTTCGATAGTATAAATAGTATTATTGTAAATATTAAAACATATCAAAGAGATCTAAGAAGTCTTCTATTTTAATAGTATCGTAAAAAAAAAAACTATTAAAAAGTGAAACTTATTAATCTGTACTTATATTAAAAAAACTATTAAAAAGTGAAACCTATTAGTTTAGATTGTTTGGAAATATATTTTGTTAAGAGAATTCGACAAAAAAAACATGAATTTTGTACGAATTGCCAAAAGAAACCTGTACTCGAGCCTGGCCAAAAGAAATCTGTACTTTTGTTGACTTTGTTAGTTTATTAAGAAACTTACGATTGACTCACTATTTTGACACACCGTTAATGATCCGTTAAGACTGTGTTAACTCGACGTTAAATATCGGCGTTAAATGAAACGACGTCGTTTTAGGTGATTTGAAAATAAAAAAAAAGTAAACCCTTGGATTTGAAAATAAAAAAAGATACCAATAAAAATAAATTTTATAAAAAAAATATTTATTTTTTCAACTTTTTGCTTTTTAAAAGATTTTTTAAGTTTTTAGAGAATTTTTTATATTCAATCAGTACCAATACAAATAAATGTGTTGGTAAATATATTGAAAGTGCCACTAGCCTAGTGGTAAAATACATTGCCATATGATCCAATCAAAACAAATAAAATAAAATTTTATTTTTTCTTAATAAAAATCAAAATCTTCACAAATTTTAATTTTTTAAAACAAAATTGGTAAAAAAATTGAAATTAATTATACACACATAAAAAGATACCCACATATTAAAATTAAATTAAAATGCTTAATATAAATATTGTACCCATTATGAGTGAAATTTTAATATTTTAGTTGATACATGTAACTTTAATTTTTTGCTTTTTCTTTGAATTTTTAATTTTTTGGAATTAAAAAAAAATCAAAATTTTGGGAGATTTTTGATATTTAGCTGATACACATTTATTTTTATTGGTATCTTTTTTATTTTCAAATCCAAGGGTCTACTTTTTTTTATTTTCAAATGACGTAAAACGACGTCGTTTCACCTAACTCCAACAATAAACGATATTAAATTTTTCTGTTAAGTTTAGTGACAGCGTGCTAAATTGGCAAGTCAACGAAAAAATTCTTAATTAATTCTAAAGTCAATGAAACGTTTGTGTTTTTTTTTCGGCCAGTCCAAAAGTTCATGTCTTTTTTAGCAATTCGTGCAAAGTTCGTGGTTTTTTTTGCTGAATTCTCATTTTGTTAATGTATTATTTGAAAAATATTGGTTAGTAATATTATTTTCAAAATTGTTCTTAATTAAATTCTGATAAAATCATAGACAAATAATGATATTTTTAGAAATTAAAAAATTGGTTTATTATAAGATATATATTATAAATCGGTAGTATTTATATATTGATTAAAATTCTAATAAGATTTGTATGTCGGTTAAATTATTAAAATGAACTGATATGTCATTCTATAAGTATAGATAGACCATATTTTCATTTTCATGCTTTAATACAACTGGTTCCGGATGAAATCTTGGGAACACTAACTCACTGAGAGTCGATCAATCAGTGAGTTTCCGGATGAAGTGTTGTTAAAGATCCTAACTTGTCTTCCAAGCAAAGACGCGGTAGCCACAAGTGTTTTGTCAAGCCAGCGGAGATCTCTTTGGAAAGAGCTAAACACATTCAGGTACGATGGTAGATCAACAGTTGCTTTGAGTTGCCCAAAAGCTTATTTATTTATTCACAACTTGAACCGGTTATACTCGAGAAAGCGAGTCTGGTGGATGTTCCATTTGATGCTCGTTTGGTTTGCCTCAAAAGTCTCCACCTTTTGTCTGTTAGATTCTCAAACGATGAATATCTGTGGAAAGGCTTTTAAGCAGATGCCCTGTTCTTGAAGATTTGGTGGTGAGAAGAATCTCATTTACTAATGTGAAGGTGTTGATGTGGATACGTTGAGGAGTTTATGTATTGATAACTCTAGTGGGAAGTCTAGGCGTGAAGGTGTTCATGGGTTTGTGATTAGAAAACCTTCTTTGAGATGCTTTACCATTAAAGACAGGTTCAGCAATTATTTACAGTTTGAAGATATGCCTGAGCTGGTTAAGGCGAGTGTCAGCGTTGCTTCGGACCAACCTGATGACATGTTTCTAGGATGTCTTGCCTCGACTCAATATCTTTCTCTGTGTTCTCTCACTTCACAGGTTTGATTGCAGACTCTCTAATCTATGATTTTCTTATCATTGTAAATTCTCTCTCTCTCTCTCTCTCTCTCTCTCTCTCTCTCTCTCTCTCTCTCTCTCTCTCTTTCTTTTT